AGAGGCTCTAGACTCGTGACCCCAGATCTTTTGGGAGTGTTTTTATCAGACTTCGTATTTCTCAGTATTATTCTTCGATAAATATTGGATTATTATTCTAAAACTATTATATTCTCTTTAGATTGTCGGTAGTTGAGGTTTACGGTTGATTTGGTAACGACTGTGGTCAGGCTTGCCTAGCAATTTTGTCGGGTGCCATCACGACCGGGTTTGGGGTCGTGACAATTACACACAGGTGATGTCCTGTATATTATAATGGATTGAAACAACTCAACTATATGCTATACCAAACTCAACTCCTCCAGTATAATATAATGGAAAAAAAGATTACACATAGGTGATGTCCTGTATATTAAAACTCAATTATATGCTAGACCAAACTCAACTCCTCCAGTATAATATAATGGAAAAAAAGATTACAATCAGGTGATATCCTGTATATTATACTGGATTGAAACAAAACTCAACTATATGCTAGACCAAACTCAACTCGTCCAGTATAATATACTGGAGAAAAAGATTACACACATGTGATGTCCCGTATATTATACTGGATTGAAACAAAACTCAACTATATGCTAGACCAAACTCAACTCGTCCAGTATAATATACTTGGAGAAAAAAATTACACACAGGTGGTGTCCTGTATATTATACTGGATTGAAACAAAACTCAACTATATGCTATCCCAATCTCAACACCTCCAGTATAATATAATGGAAAAAAAGATTACACACACGTGATGTCCTGTATATTATACTGGATTGAAACAAAACTCAACTATATGCTAGACCAAACTCAACTCGTCCAGTATAATATACTGGAGAAAAAGATTACACACATGTGATGTCCCGTATATTATACTGGATTGAAACAAAACTCAACTATATGCTAGACCAAACTCAACTCCTCCAGTATAATATAATGGAAAAAAAATTACACACAGGTGATATCCTATATATTATACTGGATTGAAACAAAACAAAATAATATATGCTAGAACAAACTGATAAAATTATCAGAAACAAAACAAAATAATGAATACAAAAAATAATTATTTAAACCCTAACGGTACGGTAAATCAAACTTAAACATAACGAAACAACAATAAGAACGTGAATCAAACACATTATTGTAAAAACAAAACTCACCCAGAGAATTTTGAAGAAAATTAGAGCTAAAACGATCAAGGATTCGAAAAAAAGTGCTCTGACGAAAGCCGCACGCGCTGCTGTGCAAACAAAGAGTAAAAAGTTACTAAAGAGTATGTTAAAGCGTGCAAGGGCAATAATGTCATTTTACATTCTATTTTAAGTTAAAATGGCTAGAAATCAATGACATCACGGACGGTGGCTATTTTTCGATAGCCACCCGTAAAAGTGGCTATGCCACGCTATTTTGACCAAAAACAAACGGAAGCGGCCATCAATCGAAGTGTCAAAAAAAGAAAGAATAGAGTTGGCTCAATAAGGTTTCCAAGGCAAAGAAACTGAAAAGGAAAATTTCACTTCATAAGTGCTACCCGTGAAAGCATTCATCGACTTAAAGGTCAAATTTTTCCCTTCCTTTGATCCTACTTGAGTTTCGTTTAATTTTGACCACGTGTTTATTAGATTATATTGGGAACTGAAAGTTTAATACCAGCCAAAAGTATTATAGGCAACAATATTAGTCAAGTTCCTTTTTATTCAAAAGGTTAATGAGATTGACGGGTACAAAGGCCCACTAATTAGAAGATAATGAACTGGTTTGAGTTAAACAATAATCCTGGCAACTCAAAAGAAGTTTGATTCAACTTATTTAGATATGAGAATACCCATGAATAATTAGAATCTTTATTCTGAAATAAAGGCACGCAATTTCACACATAAAAAATTGAAGGGCTCAGAGTTCGCGGTGTTTAGAGATTGAGACCCAGATCTTCACATAACTTTTAGCCTTCATAGTTGTTTTACAGGGAGATCTTGGAGGCAACACATGGAAATTATTGAAGAAATTAAATGGGCACGTATATTATATAATATAATATAATATAGTTTTTCTGAACGTCCTAATATATTACGTTAATGAAATACTTTTGATTTATCAAAAGAATTAAGGTTATTATACAATAAACAAAAGCATAGAGGCCTGTCTCGCCTAGGGGTTGGGTCCTTCCTTCCCGGGAACCGAGCAATTTTCTCCATATTAAACAAATTTTGATGTCTGAAATTATATCTAATTTCCACAAAATAATACTAAGAAATTTCTGGAAAATTTTCTTCAGAATCCCCCAACTGATTAATCTCTTTGATCTTCCTAATTCCCATTAATTCCTCGTTCAATATTGTTATTGCCAACTCAATAACAAGCACGACGTCAGCCTGATGAGCGACTTTGGCCTTCAAGGTAATATGCGCGTTATTACTCCCAATTCATGTTAGAGATTATTTATTTACATTAATAAAAGGGTAATTGAATGTAGAGTGGCTAATTAGACATTATGCATTCATGTAGCCCATGAATGCTATGCTATGTATTTTTGGGTGATCATGTAATTGTTCCTTCACCCATGCATACCGTTTATGCTAAATAGTTGAGGAATTGAGAAGGTGGCAAAAAAAGGAAGATTCTGAGAATGCCTAATCGTGTTACGGCAAGGGCACAATCATTTTCTTCCCAATCATCTTTGGCTCAAAAACTAATAGATGATCCTAAAAGCGTCCAGGGTAGCGTTACGTGCGTTTATCAGTCTCATATCGGAGGATATTGGCGTAATGTGACAGTTATATGGAGAAAGCATTTGATGAATCATTGTCTCACCATATCCGTCGATAGCGTAGAAAACAATGATCACCAAACTTGCAAAATTGATCTTAAACCTTGGCATTTTTGGGCCAAAAAAGGTTACAAAACATTTGAGGTTGATGGGAACCAATTGGAAGCATATTGGGACCTAAGATCAGCAAAATTTTCAGGGAGTCCAGAACCATATAAAGATTTCTACGTTGCCTTAGTTTCAGATGAAGAAGTTGTCATGTTATTAGGTGATTACAAGAAAAAAGCCTACAAAAGAACAAAATCAAGACCAGCTTTAGTAGATGCCTTATTGTTTTACAAAAAAGAACATGTATTTGGCAAGAAAAGTTTCTCAACAAGGGCTATATTTGATAAAAACAAAAAAGAAAGTGACATTGTGGTAGAAAGCTCAACTTCAGGGCCAAGAGATCCTGAAATGTGGATAAGTATAGATGGGATTGTTTTGATTCACATAAAGAATTTGCAATGGAAATTCAGGGGAAATCAAACAGTACAAGTGAACGAGCAGCATGTACAAGTATTTTGGGATGTGCATTCTTGGTTGTTTAGTTCACCTGGTTCTAGCCATGGATTGTTCATTTTCAAGCCAGGGGAACTTGAGTTGGACAGTGACAAAGATGGAAGTAGCGTTGGAGGAGTAAGCGATTGCAGCGACCACACCAAGTATTATTCGACGTTGAGCCATTCTAAAGCCTCACCCTTTTGCCTTTTCTTGTGTGCCTGGAAGATTGAGTGATGGAAAAGAACGTATGTGAGCAGGGGCGTATTGCTGACAGGTTCGGACGAACCAGTAACTTTTACTTACACCATAGTTTTGTATTAGAAAATTTTATGTGAGTGTAAATCGTGGCTCCTCTTCTGTACGAGATATTAGAGATGAGTCGGTTTCAAATTGGCTCAAACTTTCAGAAAGAAAAATTTCTAAGGATTTCTTTCCTTTTTCGAGAAGAAAAATTATATCCCTCCAAGTCTTTGTGACTTTTGTAAGTTGTGTTCTGTATATTATTCTGCATCAAATGCTTCAGCTTTCTTATTCTGATATCAGTTTTTTTTTTTTAATTTTCACTACCACCATTCTTTTACCCTTGGATACTTGGTGCCAAGCAGTGGTAGATTAGATGCGTTTAAATCTAAAACGGCCAAAGCACGTTAATAAAAATAGAGAAATTTTTATAAAGCACTATCTTTTAGTGGTAATTAGCTATCTATAGATATCATTTGCTATATTACGGATTGTAGATACGTTTTCTGTTGTTATAAGATGTATTAGATGTATTTAAGCTACTGTATTCATGAATACAATAGCAAAAATAGGCGTGAATCAGGGAAGTCCAGCTAATCAGTTGTTGTATTAGAGTGTATTCGACTGTATTCATGGCGTGAAACATGGGATTACAGCTGGACAGATTATTGTATTCGAATGTATTCGACTGTATTCACGTCGTGAAACAGGGGATTACACTGTTTTCAAACGGAAAGTGAATCAATTAACATAATAGACTCCTAATATAACTCAACAAACTCAATTATAACACACAAAATTTGTATTTCCAGTTATAAAAAAGATTCTCAACCGAAAAATACCCCAAAAATATAGCAATCTTCAGAGAAATTATATAATACATCTGAATACATAAATTATATTAATTAAAAAAGACATATGAATACATTCATGGCATATAGCGAGACAGTGAATACAATGAAATACATAGAATACAGCGGGATACATTGAAATATAATGAAAAAAAAGATAGTGAATACAATGAAATACATGGAATACAGCGAGATACATTGAATTACAATAAAAAAAGACAATGAATACAATGAAATACATGAAAATACAGCGTGATACGTTGAAAATACATTGAAATATATTAACAGAAAATCAAGTTGCTCAGCCCCAAACTCCGTCGTCTTTGTTCAAGAACAAACCCTAATTTCCGGCGAATCCGCCGTCGAGCAAAAACCCCTGTGTTGTGCGCGCCGATCGGAAAAAACAGTATATTCCTCAAAACAAATCCCATAATTCACATTATCAAAATCCAAACACTTAGTTTCTTCTTTCTCCAATATTAACATACCTATAGCTTTCAAACAACAACAAAGAAGAAGGGAGAAGAAAGAAAATAAGAAAAAGAGAAGAAGAAGGAAGTGGAAGTAGTGTCTGAAGTTTGCTCAAATCGGGTATACATTAAAAAATTTAAGAGAAAGCAACGTCCGATGGAATTGGAGAAATTGGGATCGGAGAGAACGTAGGTGATCTGGGCGAGAGGAATTTTGAGATTGAGCATCGTGTTTTCAGGGAATGGGGAAGAGAATGGCATGTATCAAAGTAGAGAGAAAAAGAAAATAGTGTAACTGAATAGCGTATTTAGTGGTTTAGGGGTAGGAGTTAACCAAAATTAGATATTTTGCTATAAATATTAAAAGGTATCTATAGAATATATATTTTTTTAAATGGTATTTATTTAAAATAAATAAGGTGTTAACCTTTGCTATAGGAGGTAAAAATTCCATAAAGATATTTTTAAGTTAAAAAAAATACACTCATGCCCTTCGTTAAAAGTTAGTTTCATAAAACATCTTACTGTTACCTAAACATCATGATCATATATATCATTTACTCCTAACATAGTTTCATTTGGCATATTTCGTCTATACCGACCATTTTAAAATAGCCATGTAATGATGTAAGTGAGACACGTGAAAACAAATTCAAATTTATCCATAACTTTGCGAAATTTGTCATTTATGCCTCCATTAGGAAAATCTTTGTGGAAATGACACAGTATAGTAACTCTCAAAATGATAGCTGAAAAAAAAAATATATATATATATATATATTTTATATATTTTTTCAGTTATCAAATATAAATAGTTATGACGCGTTCTAAAAATGAAAAAAGCCCAAAATCTTTTTAGTTTTTCTTCTCTTTTTTTCTGTGAAAAGAGCATTACATTCCTCCACTCAACAAGCGAAATGAACCAGAAGCCTTAGTGTGGGCATGGGCCTCGAGGCACGGCCGGGTCAACTCAACTGATTAAGGGCCTGCTTTTAGCCCATTGTGCGCTTCTTCAAAAGTCAGAATACAGACCTATGAAAACTGCAAAAATAGCACGGACTGGCCAGTTTTCGGACTGGTCATTCAAAAATTGTTTGTAAAGTCATTGAAAAATAGCCATTATTTTGTTGCAACAGGGACCGGTCCAGCATAATATACTGGAGATCGGTGCACCTGTGTATGAACTTCCAGCATATTATGCTGGAACTCCAACACGCGGAAACTTCCAGCATAATATACTGGAGATTGAAGCACCTGTGTATGAACTTCCAGCATATTATACTGGACCGGTATATTATACCGGTGAACCAGTATATTATGCTGGAGTTCCAGTATACTTATGCTGGAACTCCATTATAATATGCTGGAGTTCTAGTATACTTACGCTGGAACTCCATTATAATATGCTGGAGTTCCAGTATACTTATGCTGGAACTCTAATATATTATGCTGGAGTATTTTGCTGATTTTGAATAGTGTTTTCGTTCAGATTTATCTTTACATGAAAAGTGGCTAAATTTCGATTACTTTTGAAACTGTGGCTATTTTTGAATGACCACTTGAAAATTTGACTATTTTTGAATTTCTCCCATAAAAACTATAGAGATGACATAAATTTAGCTAGCTATTTGTGTGAAAATCCCAAAATTATAAGGAGAACAAATAAGAGTGAAAAGTAAGAAAAGTTAGTGACCCAAAAAAATACTATTGTTCCTATCCAAATCTATTTTATCTCCAGTTGTAAATGGAGACCTCTTTTCGTCATGCATAAACTAACCAATAATTAAGATAAACACGAAAGTGTATTATACTTTCGTTTTTATTCCATGTCCTGATGATCTCCACGCAAAGTATTAGAGCTTTTTTCCCTTCCTTTTTATGTAGAAAATCCTTATATGTCTTACACTCATATATGGAACTAGTCAAACTTTTCTACAAAGCTACAAGCCTTTTAGATGGATCCTCACAAGTTGGGGATTATGCGCTAGAATTCCAGCACTTGTATTCTCTCTTGAAAGAAGCAAAAACCTCCAAACAATTGCCGGCCAACTAACAATTTGTTTGGATGGTTGTTACCTATTGTATTATATTGTATTGTTACTTTAATTTAAAGATCATGTTTGTTTTGGTTGTTACTTAAATTTTTTTTATATCGTATCGTTATATCCGTCTTTACGAAACGGCGAAATATGCCACTTTATCTAACGACCAATTTGGTGTGATTGCGTCGTTATCTTATCTTTTTCTCTTATCTCACCCTTCATTATTATTAAATAATTTTATTTTATCATTTATCCTCCTTTTTGTATAATAAGTTTACCCTGTATCATAATTTTTCTATATAATATTATAAGTATTCTTCATATTGCTGATGCGTAATATCATGAAACAACAACAACCGATACAATCTAATCAAACATTGTATTTGTCAAACGATACAATACAATATAATATAATACACTAAAATATGATATATTATGATACGATGCGTAACAACCACCCAAACAAGCTGTAAAGGTGTTAGATGAAGAAGCAGTTGCATGTCGGCACTAGACAGTCTTTAAACTGGTGTAATGAATCAACTAGCTAGGACAAGTAGATTATCATATCATAAAAGTTTTGGCTAAAATTAAAGTCAAATATTTATTCCCATCCATGAGATCGTATAAGCATCTATCCTATATGTTGATTTTGTGCACATTTATACGCAATTTGAGAGACAGACCAAATACTAGTCAATTACACAGATCTGGGATTTTTCCTCTAACAGAACTTCCTATATTTAGAAAGTAAACAAAATCTCTAACCTCCTCTATCCAATCAAACCAGTTAATTCCCCCAACCCCTCTTACAGCATACTGCCAAAAATCAAACCCCACATGTTTCAAAGGTTCTCTCCACTTAGCCTATTGCCATCATCCTACTCGTTATCAAGAAGAATTAATTGTACACATGTCTGCTTCGATTTCTTTTTTCTTTTTCTTTTTCTTTTTTCTTACAGCGATGATGTTCATGATAACTTTTGTACATATCTCTGCTATTTCATCAGAGAGTAGGAACGCAACGGCGAAACCAGGAATTTCGTAAAGGGTGTTTAAAATTTAATATACATATATAAAAAATAATTTTGACCTACATATACAATATAAGTTTCATATACATAGTATATTTTGTGATGAAGTGTATTGGGAAAAAAGTTGAATTTATATTGAAGATGACGTGGCGTGACACGTGGACTGGACAAGTGGTCAAAGCGTAACAATTGGGAAAAAGGTACGGGAAACGACAGGTACGGGAAGAAGAAGTTAAATTGGTACGAGAAGCAGTTTAGACACGAGTCTCGTACCAATTCGAAGTCATTTAAGGCCAGTGGGTCGAAAGGCATTGAAGACATGAATCTGAAGACAAAAAGGAGTCCAAATTCAGTATTAAATACCTGATACGTTAGAAAATTGGTATTTAATAGGAATGATTGTGTAACGGCTCATTTAATGTCATTTATTGTCCATAATTGTCTCATTAAAGCTTAGGTTTTATTCCTTTACCTAGAATCAACTATAAAAGGAGGAAGTTGTATTGGGAAAAGGACATCATTTACATCATACTGAAATAAAAAAATTTGTTTACTGCTTTATTATTATTCTCAGAAAGTCTATTATTATTTTGGTCTCTTGATTATCAGTAACCCGATTTTTCATCTCAAATTCTAGTTTTATCCAAAATATTATTTCTTTGGTGAAACAAATTGGTTCCGTTACCGGGAATCTGATAATCTATTCTTTTTAAGTTACAGTCTATCTGTTGTTATCATCATGTCACATGACAATAATAACAGTGAAAACACCTTGGGAAACCGTGAAAATCAAATGCATCAAGATCAAGGAGATTTGCAGAACTTTAACGCGGTTCCTGCCCTT